ATCCTTTGTAGCTAAGTGTGAAATTAACGCACTTGAGGAAAAAATAGAGGTAAAAAATGTTAGGGAATTAATGTTTTTCTCCAAAATTCCATTGAGAAAAAAAAAAAAGAATATTCAATGCTGTTCTGGATACAATGGATATTTTGAAGTGAATGTGAGGGATTGATTTTTGTTTGTTTGTTTTGTTTTCACTAGAGAACAAATGCTCCTCATTACTTTAAATTTAATATCACTCTTGTTGAGGCTTTTTCCCAGTAACCAAAGAATCCTAAATTAAAAGTAGGAATCAGAGTAACTAGATTATATAAAAGCATATTTGGGGGTAGGGGGAGAAGCTTTATATAGTGTTCTGTGGTAGGAAGCTATGTTCTTTGCTGTGAGAAGGTAGAATGATGACTATAAAAATAAATTGATATTAGCCATTGACTTCGGAAATTTTCATGAGCACTATTCACTTGTCCAGTTTTCTTTTAAGTAAAGCTTGTTTGCGTTTACTGCATGTTATAAACCTGTATGCCATTGTGAGCTTTTTCAAGAAAAGTACTTTGCTTAAAATGCAGTTTAGGTCTACCTTCTCAGTAACAAAAATATTAAAAATATATTAGAATAAATTAGTCCAATCTGGCACTGACATGGATATGTACAGTCAGCCCTCATAATGGTGATGGCAGCATTGTGATATATGTGCCTGTCTTTCTCTTCGCACGCTACAATTGTCAGAAATACACAAAAACATGCCGACTGGATGTGTTTCATGTCCTAGGAGACAACGACTTTGTCGAAACTAAAACTGATGATACTCTTGGCAAGGGCTCAGCTGGTAGCATCCTTGCTTCTGATTTAGGGAAAACAGGAATGATGTGTGAAGATGTTTAAGAAACACTACTTCTTACACTGAAAGTTGTTGTGGCCTACTAGAGCATATCATGAGCAGCTATGAGGAGTGTGTCACTTGAGGAGTGTGGGAGAAAACAATCAGAGCAGCTTTTCAAGTGTTACGCCAGCATCAGATCAGTGGTCAGAATATGGGAAGCAGTTTGGTAAGCAGTATAATCTAAGTGGGAGTATGTGTTTTAACCCTCTTTTAGGCCACTGAGTAATATCTTTAACAGGCAGGTGTGTAGTAGTTGAATCAGCATATATGGAAAAAGAGTGATCATCTTGTTTTGGACTGATAAGTGTGTTTTAGATAACGAATTTGGGATGTGTAGAAGATACCTGTTGGGCTGTGAAAATAATTAGTATTAGAAGTGTGCCCATTATAAATTAAAGCTTTAAACTTTTGAAGCATTTTTTTTGAAAAATGCACTTTGACTTGGAAGAAGCAGTTCAAGGGATCTGTCTTTACTAATAATAAATGAGCAGACATAATGACTTTAGCAGATACATTGCAGGCATTGAAATCTACTGATTGATTATAGTTTTCTTAATACTATATGTCTTTTCCTATGTATTTGTAGTTTCTCAAAACACTTGCTACTGTCTTTTCCCTGCTGTTCACATTCCCACAATTTCTTAATCTCATTAGTATTTATAAGTGATTATTACCAACTACCTCAGAGTCATGTATAAATAAAATAAATAGTACTTTAAAAAAAAGTGAAGCTGAAGTCCCAACAGTTGGTCAGTTTTTTTATTGTCTCCAGCTCGCTCTCACATCTTAATTGTTTTGGCTTAAAAAACCCCGCAACATGTTGAATAGCTGCGAAGGTAGTTACTTACTGATTATAATATGTCACTGGACTGGCATGAATTTTAGAGATCCTTCTGTAAGTATGGAAATTTACTCCAGATACACTAATAGCAATATTATGCATTATGACATGTAGAACAGTATGTCTTGTGGGAATTAACCTTTCAGGCCATGGCTTGGGTATAGACTGGAGTTGTACACATCTAACCAAAATTTAGAATAGTGTCTAGAATTAGGCAGTGGAGCCATGGTAGAGTAGAAAGAAGGATGTTCAGGTCTGGAGGAGTTTGCCTATAAAGAGAAGTGCTGCATTCTTTCCAAAGTAAGTGTAATAGTTGTTGTCCATATGAACAAAAAACTTCCTAGCTGATCTTCACTCATGAAAGACAAGGATCCAGATTGCTAGCAGTTTCCTGGAACATTTATAGTGCAGACTGAAATAAGGTAAAACACAGCCATGTGTTTTACCAGGACATGTGTTAAAGTATCAAAATCACTTTGCAAGTTAGTGTGAATAGAATATTTGTTAGAAAATAATTTTTCTTAATCTTTGAGAAGTCCTCACTTCTAGCCTGTGAACAGTGTTGGGAGTTGATGGAGGAAAGGAATAGCTGATTAAATCATAAATAGAATAACACAATTCTCTTCCCACCCCCTTCCCCCCTCCGGCTGTTATTTCGTTTAACTCAATGTGGTAATGTATCACCTCTCTTCATGTGGGAGGTGGGCATATCAGATTCTTACTTTTTAAAGTGAAGTAGTAAAGCTAGCATTTGCCTGTCGTCTTCACAGTGTACAAAGTGCGGATGACAGTACTTATGAAGAAGATTTTGCAAATAGTAACATATTATCAAATAGAGGAAGAGAGGAAGTACACATTTGCAGATAACGTATTGAAGCTGATCTTGATGTTAACCCATGCACAGCTTTTTAAGCTGTGGATATTAGGTACGAGTAACTGGTAGAATTAGTACTCGGCTCTCTGAAACATGCTTTGCCAGGTGTGTTTTTGTAATTTGCGTAAATGTGTTTTTAAGTGTTTTTTTCATGTATATTAAATGACTTCCCCCCCCCCCCCCCACCAATATTACCCCCCCCCCCCCAAAATAATTTTCTTTGGAGGACATAGAAACCAAATTTAAATATTGCAATTTAAGACCTTTCCACCTGAAATACAATGTGCATGCAGCTGTTGCATTCATTTCCATGCGCCTATTTAATAGTTGGGTAATATTTATAGCAACTAATGATATTTTGTGTGCTATAATTCAAGGCCTAGCTGTTGCTCTCTAGTCTGTCATACATAGTGTGCACAGAAACCTGCAGTATATCTAAGAGCATCTGGCTGTCTTCAGCTGATGTTTGATGCTGGCTTCTGTTGAAGTTAGAACATCCCAGAGTTCATGCAGTTCTGCTGAGTGCTAGGTCTTTTTGTGTAAATGTCCTGGAAATACTTGATTTTTATTCAGGGTGAACTGATTTGGTGGTTTTAATTTTTCCAGTGTTGACTGTTTACGTACACAGTCCAACAACAGGATAGGTGACAGATGTGCAAGTGTGCTTCTGTGTTTTTTCTACCCCCATTTCTGTCTTGGGAAGGGGATATTCACCCATGCAGCCTGTAGTTCTATAAAAAGTGGGCTTTGGGATTTTTTTTTTTAATACTAAAAATATAAGAAAACAAGGCAAGTCAGTCTCTTTGTAAACTGTACTTTCTTTCATCCGAATTTGCAAAAACTTGAAGAAAACAGACTGTTAGTTGTACCCCAGTGTGTATTTGAAATATGATTTAAAGTGCTACCAAAAAGCACTAGAAAAGAAACCGGCTGATACAATGCAAGGAAAATGCTTACTCTACAAACTTGTGAATACTTTGAGAAGTCTTAAGTAAGGCTAGCTCTTTGCTTATTGTTAACTGTATGCATACATTCTTACACGATTGAGATTTTAATCTGTTTATCAATAAGGGTGATATTTAGAAAATCGGAAATTTGTGTGTTAAGCTTTCAGAAGACCAAACTTGAGAAGCTTTATATCAAGGAGTTAGTTGTGGATATATGCAAATTAAAGAAGCAGACAGAGCTCAACAGCTGACATTCTTTTTCAATGGGTATTTGGAATTGACTACACAGTATGTAACATGGAGATTAATTGAGAATTGTACTGATAACACTTTAACGTCTGTTATTACACATGTATAAATAGATGTCTTGTTCCCAAGGAATGCATCTTCATACTTGGATATCCATCTGTCCTGAATAAACAATCCCGTTCTCTATTTTACTCTGGCTGTAAACCTTCCGGCTGTGTGTTTAACTCCTCAGGTATATGAAGCAAAGTCTTTCTTAAGGCATATGTCAGAGATAGTAGAGAACAGTTAAGAGGATACAGTAAGGGAGAAGTTTTGCCTATGGGACCTATGTATCACTGCCACTGCTATTTTTCCAGTGAACCTGGTGTTTTGCCACTGCTGTCCTACATAATACTGAAATTCCTGAAATCATCAGATATGATTCTCTCATTGTTGACAGCATGGAACCATTGAAACAGTCTGCAGAAGTTATCAGAGAGATTGTAAAGTAATCATTTCTGAATGCGTACCTTCTTATCTATAATGCTTATGAACTTTTGTTTTCTTACTATGGCAACTTACGCTGTTTGGCTGTCTTGTCAATTTGTGTATTTTGCTACTTTCTACACTATTATTAATATTTTTATATATTTTAATTCAGTCTTGTGCACATGTCTACACTTACAGTACTAGAACTTAATAGTTAAGTAAACCTCAGTTTGACTAAAAGGTCCTTTTCCATTTCAGGGAAAGATGGGGTTAAAAGCTGACTGTTCTAAACCTTTGAAATAAGTTTTGTGTTTTCTAGGTCATATCGTATTTTATTTAAAAGAGCTCCGTCATCTAATTTAGATGTAGTGTTTGCTTTGAATGCATTTTGTACGTGTGAAAACTTGCTGTGTATCTCTTAAGTTGTAAACGACACTAAATCTGCATTTTTATGATACGTTTTGCAACATTGCCACTTCATGAAAGCAAACAATAATGCTCTGAACTTACTTTTTCTCATATGTAAATTCGATGGAATTAGAACTTGAATAATTAGACTTAAGAATAAAGGAATAAATAACATTTTGCAAATAATTATTTTCAGTAATTGATAAATTGTCTTATATCTTTACATATGTGTGGGTTTTGCCTGATAGTAGTCCCCAGTCTACATCTATTTAGTAGATAAACATTGAAAAATACTGTATAATTAATTTTTAATAAACATATTACATATCATTATTATAGGGAAAAAGATCTTGCAGACGCTTTAGAAGAAGGAGGCTGCGATCTTGAAACTGTGAGAAACATCATTCAAGGAAGGCAGTTACCTGCTGACCTGAGGGCCAAGGTCTGGAAGGTAAATATGAGCTTAAATCAAGAAGCAGGAAATACTTGAAGTTGTGTTTGATTTGAGGTAAATGATTTAGTTACCAGGCTTCTGTACAGAAGAGCTATAGTACCAGAATTTTAATATGCATGTATGTTGATTCAGTTTTAGGATATTTCTCTTCATTGTGTTCAGTAATTGGGTAACTACAGAAGGTTACTAAAATGTTTAGAGTGTTTTCTATTTTTGTTTTCAGATTGCACTTAATGTTGTAGGAAAGGGGGACAGCCTAGCATCCTGGGATGGCTCTTTAGACCTGCCTGAACAGAGTGTAATTCATAAGGATTGTCAAGAGCTAATTGGTAAGTGAAATTACGTTTAGATCACCTATGTGAAAATTTCTGTACTCTCAGTTGTCTTAGGGCTTTGTTATTGGAATTAAATAACCTGAATGATGTTTACATTTTGGAGGAAGCTTTGAGGAGGAACATGAGAGGGCAGAGAAAATCAAAAGGAATTTATAAGAAAACAGTAGTATCTTATCTGTACTCTGACTCTGAGATGGGTGACGTCATGGAAGTTTAAAGTATTAGCTTGTAAGTGATAGTTTGCGTGGTCAGAGCCAAATGGGAAGAAAGCTCCAGGAGTTGGAAAAAAAAATTTTTTTTTTTCCAAGCTCCATTGTTTAAACCAGACGCTCTTTCTGTAGTGTCATTCAAGTTTTTAACTGTCTAATGACTAGTACTTAATCTGAAAAGCTGGTGTATATATGCATCAAAATGCATATAACCTCTAAGGGAATAAGTATATTAAACGTTTTGGACTTTAAAGACTATTTTTTTTTTAAAGGTATGTTTTTTTAATAGTGTTTTCAGCAAAAATGAAAGGTTGCATTTGTGAAAGCATGATGCTGCCAGGACATTGGAAATAATATTCCAGTATGTCTGTAAGGAGCTGCCACAAGATTTGGTTGGCAACTCATCACAAAAATGGCCAAATCCCTGACACCATGCAAGAGCGTCAGTATCAATAATCAGGTGATGGAGTCATTGCTGACTTGTAAATTAGGATACTTCTTACGGCATCAATAAGAGAATCTTCTGTTTTATTACCTGTCACACTTTAAGTTATTCTTGCACAATTGAAAGTTAAGGCAGAAAACGGAAATTTTACATGCGTGTATGCCTACACACATACCTACTATGTTTAAAATGCAGTTCTACATTTTCTAGCTCTAGAATCTAGTAGGGCATATTTTCCTTTTCTTTCTGTCCTGTAAAGGGGGAAAAAAATTCCTCTGTGTTATTTAATCACAGTATTTTTTCTGAAGGATGGCAAAACATCCCTATTAGTATTCATAACATACAAAATTAAGCACTTCAATGTGTGTTAGTTCTCCTTTTGTCTTTATTGCAAATATTTTGTAATATGTGACAATATTAAACTGATGAAAGTAATAAATGTGAAGTTAGTTCACAATTAAGGTTATATAGGGATTTCAATTTTGGATTGGATTAAATCTATGTCAGTGTTTTAGCAAAGCAAGTAGTCTCCAAGTTTAAAGCAAATCTTCAGATGACATTTGAGTTTTATGTACTATTTTATTTTCCTGAAAGGTAGAGGAAAGGAAATGCCAAATATTGACCGGCTTTGATGGGAAAGTATTAAAGACTTCAGTAATGAGACTCATGGGCTTCTTGTAATGGCAGGGGAAAAATATTCAGTAGAAATTTAATGCCGCTGCATTAATGTAGTGTGTAGGCATCTCTTCCCCCCCATCTGGGACATAACATGGTTTCCTTCTTTTACTGTAAGTCAGTGTAGCTATAGTAAAATTGACATAATCTAAGTGGATTAAAACAAATTTATTTCTGAAATATATAATTCATTAGTGTATTTAATACTAGATTTTTCATTAAAAAATCTAAAGAGGTGTTTAATATTCAACTGAAATTTGTATGAACTTACACGAAAGTCTGGTTTCACAACAATCTGTATAATAAATACCAGTATATTTAACTGTAAGTAACTAAGTAGTTGTTTCATCACATGGAGGAAGGCATAATTTGGGGTATGGTGTTGACGTATTTCAGTATGTCTTAGATTTATTGCCTCAAGTGAGGTGGATGCCAGTCGTCTTCTGAAGTGTTGTCAGCCTTTTAAGTAAGTGACTATGCAGAAAGATGCTTTGGAACTAATGAAAACCTAAGCTTTGTATATGTATCAAACTCAACAATGACAGTATTTAAGGTGTTTAGCTTGCTACCTTAATTACAGAACTGGTTTTGTACCAAATTTTTGTGCCAATTTTCATCCTAATGCAACAATAGAAATTATGGATTCAGAATTAGTCTGTCATTAAATAGGGCACATAGTTACTTTTCAGTACCTTACAATGTTTGTAAGAATTTGAAACAATGTACTACATTATATAAAACATTGTGTTCATTGTTAGTGTATCTTCTGAATAGCAACAGTACCAAATCAAATATAAAAGCCAGGTGTAGTTGTAAGTAGCCAAATCATTTCTCTTTTTATAGTTACCCTAACAACCCCAAATTTAAACTATTGTTAGGAAAATTACTTTGAAGTAGAGATTAAAAATGTGATTTATATGTTAATACTAAAATTTAAGTCTGTAAGCCTAGCTGATTTCAAACTACTGATTTTCGTAAATTTGCATGTCAGTGGGCTTTTGAGGAATTGGAGGTATTCATTGTGGGTTGATCTGTGTTGAAATTCAGATTAATTTGTTGTAGAGTTGAGCATAAGTTATGTGCTGAGCACATCAAATAGGAGTAGAAGAGGGGCATTCTGTGCATTAAAAGAATCTACCTCTTTGTTTCATATAGAACCTGGAGAACCCAAACTTCTTTAATCCTGTTGTTGTGATATTTAAATGCCTTATCCTACTGGGGTTATAAAATCACTTGTATTTTGATGCCTTTTTGGATGCTTTTCTGTAGGCATTTAATCCAAGCTGCTAGTTTTTTGTTTGTCTGTTTTTGTTGTGTTTTTTTTTTTCCAAGCAGTCCCTATTGGTGCAATTGTGCTATGAAATAATCTCATTCAGTTTCTTTGAAGGGCCCTTAATATGGTTTATATTGCTGTGCCTATTTCAGACCAGTTGTCAGTGCCAGAAGAGGAGAAGACGGTATTACTTCTGGATATTGAGTCTGTTATTACTTTTTATTGTAAATCACGCAATGTTAAATACAGTTCTTGCCTTGGCTGGATACATCTACTCAAACCTCTGGTGCACCTTCGTTTGCCACGCAGTGATTTGTACAACTGCTTTTATGCTATCATGAATAAATTCATTCCAAGGTAAAACTCTCTTTCTTTTGCCTGCGTAGTATTTTTATTGGCACTAAAAGTATTTTCTGAAAGGATGTGCATGTTGGCTTCAGCTAGAGTAGCACCATTTGTAGCAAAGTTGTCAGATTCCTTCAGATGATAGTAAATTCAACCGTCTTCCAATGGTTTGAAGTCCAGGAGATGATTGATTTAGTTTAACATGTAAAGAATTAGCATGTGACTGATGTCGACTCGATGTGCCTTTTAAAGAACAAGTGTCATTTCATGCAATATCAAAAATACTTGTTTAGGAATTATCTAATTCACCTATGTTATGTGAAAGCATTTTTTTCTTTACTTTCCTAGCATTTTTGATATCTAAAATGCTTCTATCCCTGTCACTTCAAAGTACTTCATAAACACTAATTAAGTCTCAAAATCTCTTTAGAAGAAGTAGTTGATATTTTCCCTGTATTATACTGAGTTGGGACTGAAATTATTTTTTTTAAGTTGTTAGGTTTTTTTTTTTAATAAAAAATATGAAATTGCAGCTTTTTATACTGTTACATAGGTGCTCTCACTAAAATAACTTTTATTGATGTTGGAGTAGCACCATGACACTCCAGCGAGGCTACAAGGTCTGCTGATTAAGACCTTGTGAAGTAATATATGGATAGTCTGTAATTAAAGATCTTGGTCTGATTCTCTGGAGAGGAGATTCCGGCCCAGCTACTGGATGTGTGCTCATCATATGAAAAATGCATGTTTGGTGTTGTGGCAGGAAACATTTATCGGTCCTGTCACTTGACTCAGCTTACGTCCGTTTCTGATTTAAACTACCGTTGGATTCTCTGAACTGTTTTGGAATAGTGGCATTATGATCACATAACTCATGTATTTTCAGCCATAGAAGGCTTCCGGAGTGTCTACTGTTTGAGTTTCTCTGTAAGAACCTAGGTGGTGGTTCAATGAGATGTAGAGTGTTTTCTCTCTGTCTCCCCGCCCCCCCCGACGCCTTTTTTTTTTTTTTTACTGGGAGAATGAAAGGCATAGAAAGGCAATTTATAGTAGACTTGCAAGTCTTTGCTTAGGTCAGTTTGATCTCAATTTGACATTTTACTGCTGGACCATCATTACTATTTGATAAAAGTTTAATTTTTAACTTTTTGCTATTTTTGTTTTTCTTAAATCATGCACTTTTTATTCACATTTTCTCATGTTTTGTAACTGTCATGAAATATTTATTGGGAATTTATTCTAGCAAAATACTGACAACAGGTGAGGAAAATGTACAGCATAACCTGCTGGACCATATTATATCTTGGATTTTTTTTTTTTTGAAAGAGCATCTCTAGCAAGCCAAATGAAGAATGAGGGCGGGGGGGGAACCCCATAACGAGCTATTTTAGATGAGAGAGGTTTGGCTATTTTTTCCTTGGAAACACTGTTACTCTCAAGACTTTTGGTATAAAGTATCCTGTGGATACCTATCTTTCTTTCCCTCCTGCCTTTTCTCTAGAATGGTGAGTTTTCTGAACTGTACAAAATTAACAAACAGTTAATATGGAAGTCCTAGGTCATTAGGATTCTTTGTTTGGGCCATAAGTAGAAGAAAGCACCATCTCAGATATGCAATTGAGTAGACAATTATTTGTGTGAGAGCTTGTAAGGTAGTAAACTAATTAAAAAGCTGCAAGTGGGTAAGGGAAGTGTGTCTCATCCCAGGGACCACGTGAGGAAAGTGCATTACATCTGCTTACATTACATCAATGTTACCTCTAGCAGAAGGTAGAAAATAGTTTCCTTTTTTTGGTTAAAAAAAAAACAAACCCACCAAACCCAACCACCCCACCCCCCAAAAAAAACCCAACAACAACAACAAACAACCACCCTCTCCTAAAGTAAAATGTAAGTTAGTTTCCAGGGCAATTTATTTCTGTTTGGCTAAACCTTTTTTTTTTTCCAATTGTTTTTGCTTTGCTTTTGTTTTTTACCAGTCCTTCCGATGGCTGAGCCTGCTGCCTCCATGGGGCTTCTAGCCTAGGAAGTAATGGATAGGTACAGGAATTCACGATTCTTGATAAGTGTTTTTTCTGGGGGGTTGTTTTTGTCTGGTTGGTTGGTTTTTGTTTGGGTTGTTTTTTTTTTTTTTTTGGTTGGTTTGGTTTTTTAACTGGGTATTTAATAAGGGTTGATTACTATGATAGGTACCAGAAGTAAAAAATTACTGAGCAAAACAGTTAAAAATGTCTAAACAAGGTTGTTCCACTGTCAGTAGAAATGTGGAAAGATTCTTTTTAAAGTTATTTTTGGGTATGTATGCATTCTTAATGTTAAAAGGTGGTAAAGAATGATGACTGACTAGAATAATTGACCATATTAAACATTCAAACAGAAAGTAATTTGCAAATCTAGATTCTTATGCTAAATTCATTAATAGAGTATTTTTCTTCTTTTCACACTTTTTGTCCTGTTAATGGGAAGTCAGAGTTCTTGTGATAATTTCAAAAAAGAATCCCCACATATAATTTGCTGTGAATGTTTCCATTTCACCATCATAGACATACCCTTGTTTAAGAAAGTAAGGCTGATAATTGTGTTTGGAGATCTGTGTTCCAAGTTTCACAGAAATTTACTTAAGTTTGTACTTGAGATTTGTTCCTAATGTTTCTAAAAAACTCTTTTTTTTTTTTTTTTTTTTTTTTTTCATTTTAAATACTCCTTTATTTCCTGCTTGATGAATTGACATTTAGTTGTTATACATGTATGAAATAAGCATCTTTTTAAATTTCCTTTGGCTGCCATATTAGAATGATTTATATATTTTTTTAATTCTGTTTTTAGTTAACAACATTGATACCATGATAGCCTTGTTTTGATATTTAAATCTGTTTTAAATACTTCTGTATTATATACTCTATCTAGTATTGGCAGTATTTCGTTCTTTCTCCTGCCTTATTAATATAGTGGGGTTTTCAGTGTTTGGGGGTTTTTGTTGTCTTGGGGTTTTTTGATATTTTTTTTTTTTTTTAACTCTTGAGGCAAGTTGACTTCAGGCTCAGTCCCTGTCAATTAAAAGAACAATATAGGGAATTACATAATCACATAATAAAGAATTGCTGCTGTAAGTCTGACAACTGTAATATTACGGGAGGTTTGTGATTATTTTCACTGCTACTTTTTAGGGATTGTTTTATGAAGGGAAGACCATTTCATCTGTTTAGACTGCTTCTTCAGTACCATGAGCCTGAACTCTGCTCCTTTCTTGATACTAAGAAGATGACTCCAGACTCATATGCACTCAACTGGGTAATAAAGTGAAAGTAGGGGAACATAATGAAAAATAAATTTCTGTTAAAATTTAAGTACATGTTGCCAGTTTATGGAAAAGTAGTGCAAGAGATTAGAACAGCATATATTGAAATCAATTGCATGTTTCAATATAGCGTGGGCTTTTTGTCTTCAGTTGTTTAACATAAGGTGTAAGATCTTGTTAACATCACATTTTTACTGTACTGGATGTTAATTGAGCCATGATGTTTGGAACTACTTGGAATAAGTGAGAATGAGAGCAGCTGAGGTACACAAAAAGTAAGAAGCCATGATGTTAGTTTTTATAGTGGGCAGCTGTATGGTTGTAGATATGGCCGCCCTGCTCTGGTGAGACCTCACCTGGAGCATTGTGTCCAGCTCTGGAGCCCTCAGCACAAGAAGGACATGGACCTGTTGGAGCCGGTCCAAAGGAGGGCCACAAAAATGATCCAAGGTCCGATATATATATATGTGTATATATATATATTTATATCCGATATATATAGACAGACACATAGATATATAGATATCCGATAGATATATTTCACCGCTTTGTGCATATGGTGCTATGCCTTTTAGAATTTAGGCGTATATATTTTACCACTCTTCAAGAATTGGTCATTTTCTCCTCGCTTGTAACTTCAAAACTGCCTCGAGTTGGGGGTGTTTATAAACATGCTTAACTCAATATTTTTTTTTTTATAAAGTGTGTGTAGCAGGACTACAACAGAAAGCAGCAAAATTCTCATGTTTCAATGCTACTTAGCATATGCAATACAAAAATGATGATACAGTGCTTGCAGAGGCAAAGTCTGTAAATTAATAAAGAAGACTTCATTACCTATGAACACTTTTAGGCTCTTCTTTCATACCCATTGGCTTTGTAAAATTTTTTTGTAACGCCATTACTTTCAGTTAAAGAAATAAGACTAATGAATTATTAAACTGTGAGGTCTGTATTTGTCTGGTTTTTTTAAAGATGACTTTTTTAGGCTGCTACCAGTTTTAATATTAAAATGTGTCCATGAAGAATTTCCATATTCTCAAAATCTGCCTTTTGCCAGTCATCAGCCTTCAAAAGAGGAATCCGGTCTTTTTTTATTACTGAATCTCCCTTTTTTAATATAATTTTCCTTAGTAAATACAAACTTCTTTGAAGCTGTTTATTAAAAGTTTAGTGATTCATTAGGAGAAAAATCTCCCCTTTGAAAGGAGGTAGGGAAATGAGCTAGTGTAGCTGCCAGTCCTCAATGTCATGCTTTCTGGTGTACAATCTTAGAAAAAAATCTTAAGCCTTATTTTATATTATGAGATTACATTAAAATTCCTTGTTTCATCTGTCAAAAAACTTAGTCTATATAGAGGTATTTCTAATGTGTAGAAATACACAAGCAACGTTCAGAGAGACCTGTCATTGCCTCATTGTTCAGGGACATTTTTGTCTTCCATTGCGTTTGAGTCAGAATTGGATAGATCTTTTACCTTTTGTTATAGAAGTATACTGGCAAGTGTTGAAATAGTCCATGATGGTGTTTAAAAACTGATACTGGGCTTTTGAAAGCTGTAGCTCTGTTGATACAGAATTTGTATGCATCAGCCAGTTCAGTAAGACCCCAGTGAAGCCAGCTGGTATGCATTTGAGTTAGGTGTGATTGCAAATATTGCAAATATTGCAATGTGTGAAAAGAAATTCCTACCTTTTTCTTTTATCAATTTTGAACTTTGCATATCAGAGAGGATGTATTTTTAAATGGGAACATGGGAACAGGCAAAGAGTTTGTTAAATAGTAATGAAAATTTTCTGTTGCTTGCAGATGTTTAATTACTCAGCCATAAAGCATCATAACGTAATGTTAAGTAAGTGATGTTGTCAAACTGATGTGCAACCATGCTTGGTTCTACTGTGAAAAATAAAAAGAATGTTGTTTACAGAATCCTTTCAAAGTCCTATTTGTTAAGCTGGTTGAGTAATATGTTCTCTTATTATTGTCTTGTTGGTATAATTGGTATTTAGCAGTACCTATGAGCTAAACAGTATTCCAGCCTGATTGTGTTATCTCTGGTTGTATTTGCAAGGCTGACAATGTACAGCTGAGATTGCCTTCACACTAGTTGTATTTATTCACAGATAAGCTGTAGCAGTACTGCACTGTTTCCATAAAAATTGTTTTTGAGAGTAGAACCCTGGTGCCAATGTGTGTTTTAACGTAATTTTGTTGGGTTTATTTTCTTTTAGATATTTTGTATCTCTGTTAAAAATGTTCTCCTGATAAGATTGTTCCTGGTTATTGCTTTTTCTCATACTATTTTCCAAATTTTTAGCTTGGAAGCCTCTTCTCATATTACTGTTCAGCTGAAGTCACTCAGGCAATATGGGATGGATATCTACAACAAGCAGATCCATTCTTTATTTATTTCTTAATGTTAATCATCCTTGTCAATGCAAAGTAAGTGTGTAGTTAATTCTTTGGGATGTTCCTTGCTGACACAGTTGCAATCCACTTTTGTTTCATTTCGGTTTTACTGACTTAACCTATGCCTGTGACTTTACTGTTTTCAGAGACGTTATCTTAGCACAAGAATCAGATAAAGAAGAAATAATAAGTAAGTATTTCTCTTATATAGCTGCTAGTGAAATATGTACCATATCGTATAATCCCCATTGATTATTATTTTTAATTACTAAATAATGGAATTATTTAATTATTTCCTTGTGACTTTCTCATTAATGAAGCCCCTCACCCCCTATTTCCTATCTTACTATCCTTTTGCTGCATCACATTTGCCCTGTCCTTAACATTCTTTTCTTGTGTTTCCTTTTAGCACTCCCACACCTAGTTTTATACTTCATTTTGGAGTACTCAAAACAATCACCATGTTCTTAAGCCTAAAGCAGCAGCTTTCAAATCCTTCTTTAAATCTACTGCACTTGTTGCATTTTCCAGATTATTGTCTTTGCATGTACTTGATTTGAGCCTAATTCATTGTTCTTGTCTTACCATCTCGTGTTTTTATAGAAATTACACTAAATTTCTTGTGATCCTATTTCGCCTGCCTTTGTACATTTTTTTACATGACATAATACAATATAATTAATAATCTCCTAGTAGTTAAAAATGAGGGTGCTTGGAATTTTGCGTCTTTGCCATGTACTGCAGAATTACACCCTTGTACCATCCTGGACATATAATAGTACTACTGATTAAGTACTCTGTTTTAGAGGATTCTCTTGGTCAGCCCTCTTTAGAAAAGGCAGCTTGGTATTACAACTGAAAGCTAAAACTATACAGAGGTAAGAGTGTGGTAAAAAATAATTTGCGTGGAATGTTTGAACTTCTAGCAAATAGCATAGGTTTCCTATGGATAAGGAGCATTTCCTGTATCTTCTCTTTCCACCTGGAGAGAGAATCAACATTCATGTTTAATCAGTAAACTCGGTTGTGTTATGCCTTATTAAAAGTAAGTTATTTTATGATATGAAAAGATGTATGGTGCTTCTTTTCCATGTCTGAAATAATGGTGCACTTTGTATCTCAGAATTCTTAGAAACTTCACCAGCCAATCTCGATTTAGAGGACATAGAAGATCTCTTCTCTTTGGCACAATATTACTGTAGCAAAACTCCAGCTTCCTTCAGGAAGGTAATAACAAAGTAATTTTGAAATTCTCTTCTTTTTGGTGACTGTTTAAGCTCCTGCTGACAGTTAACTTTAAATATTTCACTGTGGTTTTTTTGGTTTTTTTCTTTTAAACAATTTTTTTCATGTTGTTATTCTGGTGGTATTTACTGTTAGGATCTTTGAAAGATAAGAAGGTTAAGTGAAACATGTTAGAGAGAAGGTTCCCTGCAATATTCTCACTTCATGACTGATGACCTTGTTTTGCAAACCAGGTTCTTTTAAGAACTAATGAAACAAAAATGCCATACTGACACAATTGTGTTGTAGTAGACTGCACAGCAGTCCTCGCTGTACTTGCAACAGCAAACAGGAAAAAGTCAGTTACTAGACATAAAGCTGTCATCACCTGCACTGCTCTTGCAGTTCTTACTTAAGATGTGTGACTTCAGTGAATTCATGAAATAAAAGTAATTGATAGTCATTGCCTGTGGCTTGTATGTACTTTCTCTGATGTGTGTAGACAGGTATGTGAGATTTTTTTGGGGGAAAAAAAAAAACAAACAAAAAAACCCAAAACCCAGAATTATTTCCTCACATTGGCATGGTCAGAGTGGTGAACAAGTGTGTTTGTAATGGAAGTTCAGGCCTTGCCATGATTTTCAGAAAGAATTTCAGTTGATCAAAAATTTGATGACTCTGTGGACAAGATGCACGTGTATCGGGCTTAATGTTTGTGACATGGTGGATATAGTTTATCACATCTAAAGACAACGGCTTCAGTTAACTTTTTTTTTTTCCCTCTTGCCTTATTAGGACAACCACAGTCTTTTTGGCAGCAGCTTGCTGGGCCTCAAAGATGATGACACAGACTTGAGCCAGGCTCTCTGTCTAGCAGTTTCTGTGTCTGAGATTCTTCAAGCAAATCAGCAACAAGGAGTAAGTATACTGAATTACCCTCCACCACCCCCCCAATTTTACAGAAAAGGAAAAGAATCGCTTACTCTTTGTGTATCTCAGATATTTTTAAGTACTAACAACACAGATGAATATTTGCTATTTCAGGAAAAAGTAGTCTTGTCTTGAAGTTGTCTCCCTTGTAAATGACCTGCTGACTGCAATGCATTTGTGCTGTAGCAAGTAGAGCTACAGTACAGAGGAGCTTCACACAGCTGATTTCAATCTGTGGAGTGGGAGCTTAAAGTAATACCTCACTAATTTGAATTCCTTTCCAAATGTAGCTGTGGTAGAGGAAAATTTAAAACCCACTACTCAGTACCTTTGAGAAGAATGCTGTTATGAAATATCTGTCTTTTGTCAATGAAAGTTTTAAACAAACAAACAAATTGACTCAAGCTATTTCTGTAGTAGTTAATTGCAGACACTTAGATGCAGGGACTTCACTTAAATAATTAAAACCAATACATCAATAATAGCGTGGCTATATTACAGTGTTTCTTATTGACTACTGGCTTTTTTTAGCAGTTTCCAGGCCCCAGTTTCATCATGCAGACTTCCCCCCACCTCACCCCCCCAGCCAAGTAAAGTTAAGCATCTGTTATATCCTGTTTAAGTGGGTGGGATATAAAGCTATCCTTATGTGCTGTGCTGAGTAGTAATGGAATGTTGGATTGGGACTTGAAAGTTGTCCCTTCTGATGTCTTGCTGATGTGTGCCCTCATACCCACTACCATTCTTTTCAGTAGAGGTGAAATAATAACACTGTGTATCCCACTTGGGTGATCCTTTCCAATGCACAGGCTGATGTATTAATGGAAAATCACTATTAGAATACTGTTGGTGGTCTGGTAACTGTAGAAGTTCAGATCAAATGAAATAAGATTTTCTGGTAGCTGTTAGCCCCTTTGAGGGGTTCCTGTACTATTGGAATTAGTATTAAAATATAATTGAATGATGTACTTTCCCATCAATAATTACAAGATTTTAAAATTTTGTAACAGGCAAAATCTTTCTCTTTCAGGAAGGAGTAAGGTTCTTTGTGGTGGATTGTCGTCCTGCAGAGCAATACAATGCTGGGCATTTATCAACAGCATTTCATTTAGACTCTGATTTGGTTCGTATGCTTTTTGTTTCTTTACTGATTTTTGAATCTTGAGTTAAATAGAAGGAGAGAGAAAGGCCTGTCTTGAAAAATAAATTATCTTTAGTTGACTCTAGTCTGTAGACTGCAGTGTCTAGCTATGTGATGAGGTTTCAAAAGTCAGCTTCTCTAAAGGAGATTGGTGCAACCATCATTTTACTGAGAAGTTTAGTCCTTAATGACATTAGAATTTGGGATTCCAGACTTCCTGTTCTTTGCCTGGAACCGGAAACCCATACAGGCTAAAGACTAGACATTGCTTGGAGGAGAAATCTCTTTTTAGCATCATAATTTCTAATGAAAGGTGTAATTCTTTTTTTTTTTTCCCCCAGCCAGTCTTACTACAGCCTGCTTGTAAGGAGCATGTGTCTTTGAAAAGGATTTGGTTGCTCCTTTAAATTTTTTGCAATACAATATGAGAGAGGAAGTACATTAATTTTGAGACTGAGATGTACTATGGACTAATTACTTCATGACAGATTTTACTGTAGTTTCCATTTGACTATGAATTCCTAACTGAACATTCAATCATATTTTTTTCTCTGTCCCTTTTTCCCCAAGTCACTTATGCTTCAGCTGGCTTATGGTGTATTCTCCCCTTCTAGATTAACCCTCTACTATTTCACTTCAAGCTGGATGCATGGATGCTGCATGGAATGATTTCTATGTATGCACCCCATAAAAGGCTTTTTTACTTTTCTTAGTTAAGAAGCTCAGTCCTGGATCTGTTATCTTTACCTCTCTAATTAAAATGATGGATTATTCAGTATTATTTGCACAAGTATAATTGTATAGGAGAGAAAAGGAGGCTCAGAGGAGACATTATCGCTCTCTACAACTACCTGAAAGAAGGTTGTAGCGAGGCTGGTGTCAGTCTCTTCTCCCAAGTAACAAGTAATAGGATGAGGGGAACTGGCCTCAAGTTTCACCAGGGGAGCTTTCAATTGGATATGAGGAAAAATTTCTTCATGGAAAGGGTTGTCAAGCACTGGAACAGGCTGCCCAGGGAAGTGGTTGAATCACCGTCCCTGGAGGTATTTAAAAGACGTATAGACATGGTGCTTAGGGACGTGGCTTTGTGGTGGAGGGTTGGCAGTGTTAGGTTAACGGTTGGACTCAGTGATCTTAAGGGTCTTTTCCAACCTAAATGATTCTATGATACAGTGTTCTAGGTTTTAACCTAGATCAAAAATGATTTAGGAAAAAAACTTTCCCCATGTTATGTGGGTGTCCTTCTGCTAGCCTTAATTGAACATCATATTCAATAAAGTAGAAATAAGCATTATGAATTATTAAACAGTTTTAAAACCTAGTAATATATGAAAAAGAGGTCCATGAAGACAATTCTTAAGTTGGATGCGATTAGTTTGTATGTATTTAAATTACATATTGGAATTAACTTCTGCAGTGTGTGTCAGTTGGTATGGTTAGGATCCTGAATGAACCATGGTGCATGAATGTCACCAGGTTATTTTCTGGTTTTGGAAGTTTTAATGCCAGGAAAGCTGTAGGGAATAATCTTTGAAATGAAAAGCCATTAATGGAACTTCAGTGCGTTTTATACACTTGTATGTGCAAAGTACACACAATTTACTTTAAGGGGAGGCAATGGGGAAAGCACTCTGGAATCCATCTCGTTTATAGGTAGCCTTAGTTAGGGGAAGTAGTGAGATTTAGCACCTATATAATAAAGCACCAGCATTTGGCTCTAGGAAAACCCCAGTTAAAATTCAGGTTGACTTACTGATGGCTAGGTTCTGTACTTATTACTTTGTCATTTAAGCCAGTGTAAAGGCTAGATGATGAGAATTCTTCCCTCCCTTCCCCACCACACCAATCCATTCACAGGTCAATATTTCCTTATTAATTTAAATAAGTGCCTTCCCCACAAAAGCAGGTTAAAATTTCAGCTGTATTTAGAAAGTCTTTGTTTCTCCATCTTTCATATAGCAGCTCATTGTTTTTGCATGCATAATAGGCCTTCAGCAGACCACAACCTTAACTTTTTGAGAGTATCAGGAATCCTAGGTATCTCCTTGTACTCCTGATTGTAATTTTTTTTTCCAAATCTTGATAAGTAAGTGAGAAAAAGCTTAGCAGGGAGACAACAAGAGGAGGACCTTTCTGGCACCTAGAAATTCTAGGTATTTTAAAGGGTTTCAAAACTGCAAAGTTTGAACGTGTTGTGCTCAAGCATATATAATTATGGAAATCAGTCCCTCTGCTGTATTGTCATCTTAATGCAACATGAAAGACTTTTTCTGCTATTATTTGGTATCTGCAAAAATAAACTAACAAATGTTAGCTGCATTTCTTTCCTGGGGAGAACAAGGTGGAGTGAGGAAGAAAAGGATCATTCTCAGTGCTCTTTACATAGCATGAGATCTGGGTCAGGCTGTCTTTTTTTTGTGTGTGTGTGTGTGTGTGTCTGGTACAGTGCTGACGTTGGCTTGTTTGTGCTTAACAAATTATAACCATTTTCAAAGTTTGTGTCTTTTTGGAAGTTGTGTTACAGTATGTCGGTGTCAAACAGCACTTTTTGTATGTTCATTCCACAGATGCTTCAAAACCCATCAGAATTTGCACAGTCTGTAAAATCTCTATTAGAAGCACAAAAACAATCTATTGAGTCTGGCTCCATAGCTGGTGGGGAACATCTCTGCTTCATGGGAAGTGGCAGGGAAGAAGAAGATATGTATATGAACATGGTGCTAGCACACTTCTTACAGGTACAATTAAATTGCTGTTGATCTTAATAGCTGAAATAAAGTGTGTCTGCACATATCATTGATACTAAATGGCAAAATAGTTTCCCCTTAATCTTAACTGTTTTTTACATTACTCACATTTACAGTTTTTATGAAATTAACCCATGTTTCATCACCACGCTTGCAAAACCATTCCACAGATTTTTGCTTCAACCAAAAATGTCTTTTCTGTTGCAGAAAAATAAGGAGTATGTAAGCATTGCCAAAGGAGGATTTATGGGTAAGCTTATTAATAATGAGATTTGGCTTGAGAAAATTTGGTATCTTAACACCGTTGGTATTTTTATTATGCTTTGGCTAGAAATCAGCCAAATGAATAGCAAATAGGTCTCACTTGTCAGGTTTTTGTTTTGTGTAAGTCAACACTGTGCACTTGCACATTTGTCGTTAACTGTTACAGCTTACCCACACTTCTGAATGGTGAAAAATTAAAACGGGAAGTGGGGAAATTCCCTCTTTCTTCTAACTTGTCATTCTTGACGTTTAGCCTCTGTAGATTGCAGATCCATATGAAGATGCTACTTCATAATTACTCTTAATGGATGTTGTGTTTTCTTAAGTCATCAGTTCATAATTCTGCAATTTATGTTGCTGGAATCAATCAGGCTCTGCAGCAGTGGAGAGATCTGTGCTACAATATGAGTATAGAGGCATTACTAGTCAATATGTGCAGTGTCATAACAGCTACCTTTAGGATAGAAGCAGTGATTTATTTTTAGTTGCTGCTGTATTTTAACTGTTTTCTTTACTAAAATAAAAATTATCCTAATGTCTTTGTACTACTGAAAAAAAGGCAGGGATGATTATAGCGGTATCTGAATTTACCTGTTTTATTAAATCATGTGGAGCAAAAATTGTTACTGATTAGTCTTGGATATACAGTATTTTCATCAACAGTCTAATTCTAGTGTAGTTCTGAAGATTTTTTTAATGGTCTTTTAACAGCCCTCCAGCAGCACTTAGCAGATATCAATGTGGAAGGACCAGAAAATGGATATGGCCACTGGATTGCTAGTACCTCAGGCTCAAGAAGTAGCGTAAATTCCTCCTCTGTTGATGTAAGTGAATTTTAAGCTCAAGTGGTATAGTGGGATGGGAGTCCCAGGTGTACTGAATTTTTTTCTTCATATTCCTCATTCTGTTCTGTAAAATGCATTACTGCAAGTGATGATTGTTTTCAGTTGTGTGTTTAATTTCAAACTATATTCACTGTCTAGTTGGACATGACCTAAACCTTTTTGTCCTCTTCAGAGGAAGAGCTTGTAGAGAAGAACCTGCTGTAGTAATTCTCCAGCAGAATATATGTAATGGACAATTTTTTTCCTGGCTCTTCTTCACTCTGGGAATAAATTACTATAAAACTGGCATACAGTTTCATGGGAAAGCTCAAAATTGTCTCTTTTCTACAGCTGATATGTTGTATGTAGAATTTGGCTTTTAATTTGGATAAAATTTATTATTAATAGAATTCCTTCCTCTCTAGTTTTTTGTAGCAGAGTGCTCAGTAATAAGGTTTGTTAAGGTTGCTTTATTGGATCTTTATCTTTACCTCAGACACATATCGTTGCTGTCATTTGATAGAACTCTAAAAGAATACTTAATGCTGTAATTGATGTTCTACTGAGTACGAAAAAGAAGGTAATTACTATTTTGTAGTCTGTTTCCTTTCTTAACAAACTAGAGAGTAAACAACATTTTTATATGATTAATCCTGAGAGGAGTTACTTTTACAGGGGGATTCTCCTAATGGTTCAAGTGATGCAAAAGGAGTAAAGTCCCTGGTGAATAAAATGACGGTCGCTTTGAAGACTAAATCTGTGAATGTGAAAGAAAAGGTTATTAGTTTTATTGAAAATACATCTACTCCAGTGGACAGGTGCGTCACTTATCTCTCACTGTGAATTAGCAGTGACAAATGACTTGCCATTCCAGGTGGCTATTTTGTAAATGTGAAGACTGTACTAATTAGGGGGAAAAGGTTATCTTCCAGTTTCAGCTTTTAGATTTCCTACTGCTATCCTCACAATTTTATCATGACACAGTAAGCCTACTGTGCTGCCTTAGTGTTGCAAGGCCAGTGTGAGTAGCCTTTTCTCTTGAACGTTTATCTAGAATTTGTCACTGCCTGGCTAGTTTGACTTCTTATAATGTATCAGTTCTGTATTCAGTCTAAAAGTCAAGAATAATTTCACTTTTATTTCAGTTCCTCCCCATCCTGACTCTAATGGAATGGGTGAATGACAGAAGGATTCTGGACAGGTTTTTTGGTTGGTTGGTTTTGTTCTGTTTTATTTTTTTTACTGTCCTATCTTGTCAAGTTGAGGTTAACTTTTTTGAAGATCTTGATTTTTCAAGTCCTGATGTAAAGCTGCTTTTCAAACCCAGAATCCACTCTTGTTCATTTTTTGTATCCTCAAGCAGAGCTAGGAAGGAGAATGTGCAAACGTGTTAGAAGACACTTTCAAAGTTGGAAGTCATCATTCCAAATATTTATCTTAACTAGATAAAAGAATAACAACTTAGATCTGTCAAAGCTTTAATTGAATAGCTTGTGTTAGAGTTCTTTAAAATGCAGCCTTTGGAGTTGTATGTTGCTAAGACATTGGTATTCAAGAATCTTACAGAGCTAGTGTGTGTTTGATACCAGGATTTAAAATATGTGTCAAACAAACAGTAGCTTTTAGTAGTCTTGTACCTAATCAAAAGGTACAGATTTTTGTTTCTTTTTGTGTTGGAAAATGATTTTTTTAATAATTATTACTGCTTCACAGTCAGAGGCAAAAAATTCCTAAATAGCACTTGGTAGTAGCTTTTGTTGTGTGAAGAATTCAAGTAAGGCTTATATGTAAGCCATACATAGCATGAAAAATGCATCTTTTGATATAATTTTTACGAATTTTTCTCTACCTCGTGGCTAGCTGTCATGAAGCATTGCTTTTATTTATAAGCATCCTCCTTGAAGAAGATACATTGCCAATATAGAGCATTTAAATTACTTACCTAGATTTTTCCTTTAAACTTTTTTTTTTCTTAATTCTTTTGTTCTGTCCTCTGCCCCAATGTACTATAGAATACCTTTCAGTATTCCCTGGCCAGACAGAGCAAGCCTGGAGCGGTAAGCTTGATAATTAAGCAGTCTGACTAAAACCACCTTTGTCGTATTTAGCATGGCATTGCGATAATTGTAAGCATTGGTCACACTGACAAAATTGCTCGCATATTTTTGTATTAATTTAGGTTTTTTGAATATATTAAAGCTATTGGTTTTTACAAGTACTGGTCAGGGGACTAGAGGAAGAGAAAGAATGTATTGGCAGTGCTTTCTTCTCTCAGTTTCTGCTTTGTTATTTCTGTGCTCTTCCTTACTATTGCTTTTTATGGAATTTTTTTTTTCACTTGTCATTTCCTGTATACATTTTATTAGTGACTTGTACTAGGGAAAG